TGGTGAGGGAGATGGTGGTGGTGATGGCGGTGTTGGCGACGGTTGTGGCGATGGCGGTGTTGGCGACGGGGGAGGGGATGGTGGTGGTGACGGTGGAGGGGATGGTGGAGGTGAAGGTGGTAGCGGCGGTGCTGGTGGAGGTGGAGGTGGCATCGGTACTGTCAGTTGTTTGTTACATAGAACTGCAAACACAGGCAGGCAGACAGGCAGAGCAAATCGCGATTTAGCCGCCATTATTCGTAAATTGTCATTTTGTGTAGTCTTACAATGCGGACCACGGATCCTGATGCCCACATTTGCTTTAGAGGAACCACCACTATTGCACAAGGACACATAATCATGCTTGATACGTCATATGCATTGTATGTATGTATGTATGTTGTTACAGGGTGGTTAACTTCGCCAGCGGCCCCCTTTCCCGGGGCAGTCCCTGCTCTCCCCTGCTAGAGGGGCACCCTAATCCGTCACCCCATCCGACTTCAGAATGTATTCGTTGGGTTCGGCAACTCACCACCAGCATCCAACCAAATCTAGCGGATCAACGGCGCATCAACTTAGTTCCTGGTCAGCTCGCAAGTAATGTATGTATGTATGTATGTATGTATGTATGTATGTATGTATGTATGTATGTATGTATGTATGTATGTATGTACTAAAATTGCTCATTTAAACACGCCCTTACGTGTGGCTTGACAGTCCTGTGATGGGCCAGTGGGGTCGGAGCAACGGCCTGTTAGGTGCGCCACGACATTCAGTCCGCCCCAATTAGAAGGACCCTTGAAGTACAGGCCACCGCTGCGGGCGAGGTTGCTGCAAGGCAACGAGAGAAAGAGCAAGACCAAGACCACGCATTTTGAAAATTATTGTTTACCATCAATCCATTGTCTGCCTGAAAGAAGCACGCACTTAACCAACAACACTCCCTCGCTGGAGCAATTCAGTCGTGGGAGTGACGAATGAGGTGTACATACACAAGCGATCACAATCAACGATAATGCCTTGCTGGACAGCAGCAGCAGTAGTAGCCATGTCTGTGTCCATAAGAGCCGTCGTTGCACACGCATAAGCAGCGGCGGCGATATCTGATGCGCCGATTCCACCCATGCCATGCCGTGTTGTGTGACTGCATGCCAGCCTGCCACGTCATTATCATTATTATCATTATTATAATTACACTATTGTATTATTATTGTTGTTGTTATTATTGTTATTATCACTATTATTATATGTCATTATTATTGCGTTAGCTTTAGCTAGCTGACTAGCTAGTCAGCTAGCTATCTTCCCACGTACCCTGCTGCTGCCTACCACAAGTGGAGCTGCCCCATGTGGCCCTGCAGCTAATGATATAATTGCCCATCTGGAGACACACATACATACAGGCAGGCATTTACCTGCTATTACAAACCGAACAGTAGTCAGCCATTGCAGATGTAGCGACACCGGAGTCGAAATTCGCGGTCAAATTCTGTTCGACAGTTAAAGCAATGGTCAAGAAATCGTATGACCTCTGGGACGAGACGATGACACTGCCACCTGCAGATGAAATTATGGCATGTACGGATGTGGACGCATGTACGGATGTGGACGGTGACTTGATAATTGATGGGAGGGGTGAAACGCAATCAGAGGTATAATAATAATAAGAAGAAGCAGGTGCCTGTGTGGCCATGAGATACGCCACGGTGGGTACATCGTCAGTATAAACTTTAATCTTCTATACATCGTGTCTAATAGTATAAATAATTGATAGGGGCGGTCCCTATATGTAATGTACCACGGGCACGTCATACTATTTATTGTCTATACAGTATATAGACAATAATAAAAACATTTACAGACGATCTATGTAATAACTTCACACAAGTATGTGCACCTAGTTTGCTCCGTACCAAAGCAACAAACAACAGTATATGGCCACAAAGACTGCTGGCCTGTCTTTGCCGTGCCCCTTACCCATGTTGATGAAGGTGGCAATATGGCCCTTGACGGCTGCTAATGCGTTGTTGAGAGTCGTCGAGGGACTTGCGGGGATGATTAGCAGTTGATACTGGCTGAAGTTCAAAGAAGCGACCAGGGCAGAGCTGTTCACGTAGGTGATGATGTTGGTCGAGTAACTGGCACCTCGGACCCATTCTTCTAGAACTTTCTGCTGGGATAAAAAGGTAAGATTAAACAAACAAAGCATGATGGAAACACAAACGTTAGGTAGTGAGAGTTTTTTAAAGTTCGTTCATTCGTGTTGCCGGCAGCTTAACTTCGCCAAGCAAACAACCCAGCAGGTCGACTACCGCGAATTATTACGAGCGCCGAGGTTTCCTTTCTCTTCCCAGAGTCCAACAGCCAAAACAAGCCCGCATACACGATCATACTTTTGTTCCGCCAGGTGTTGGTTAAACATTTTAAAAATACAATGTATACAATGTATTACATCACAGTGCTTACGGAGTTGGGATCAGTAAGCGCAAGGATGCGGTTCGTGCCATCGGAGGCGGCCCCCTCCAGCGCCTCGGTCACCAAGCTCGAGAACAACGCACCGCAGCCCCGCAATCTGTCAGTGCACTGTGGTGATATGCGTGGTGGCATGGGGAAGGGGAATGAAAGGCCACGCAGCAGCGGTTCGTATCATTTCTCGTGAAGGATAACAATGGAAAAGGATAACTGATATGGAATGGATATGTACTCTCTGACGAGGGCTGCTGCCCGGTGGTGCCGGTACGTATGCATGTATATCGAAATGTATGCTTTATCGAAACAAAATGCGAGCGTGGTATGGATCCAAGAAATGATCTCCCGTGCAAGCTGTACACATGCACCAAGCTACTAATACCCATGGCATGGGGCCCGCTGGATCATATCTGCTGCCACATATGTACGGAGTGATGATGACATAGGCCGGGTGGATTGTGAGCGTGCAGTACTTAGGGTTTTAGGGTTTTAGGGTTTTAAACCTTAAAACCCTAACAGTACTCAGGACTTTGCTGGGATCTTGATCACCACTTACGAAATCTGTGCGAATCGTTGACAAGCAGACAAAGCCGCCGCTACTCGAGACCGGTGGCGGCGGTGGTTGCAGCTCTGCTGGTGGCGCGGACGGAGGCTCGGGGAAGGATAACTGTCTTCCACACAGGACTGCATGCATGTGAACATGTGAAGCATAGGGTTGACGGACCATCACATGAAACAATCAAGTATATTTGGGGTATACGGTTAGGTGCCCCTGGCCAGCGTCAGGCCTGGATCGATGTGCCCCGGGCCATACATACATACATATATACATACACATACACATATGCATACACACATACATACATCATACATACATACGTACACACACGTACGTGTGGCTTTGCAGTTCAGGGAGGAACCCGCGGGGTCGGAGCAGGCGCCTGTAAGGTGCGAGAGGACTCTTAGTCCACCCCAATCGGAGGGACCTTGCATATTGACGTCCACATTGTTCGACTGGTACAGGCCAGCACTCACGAAGAGATTGCTGCAGCAGCATGATGGCGGATTTTTATTATTAGGCGGCGGATGGGCTCGCGTGAGTGTCTCTGTACACTACTTGACAGCAGTACACGTGGTAACACAGCGGGGTGCACCCATTATTATTTACTATCCTCAACGACGCCGTGAACTATTACTACTATTACTACTACTACTACTACTGCTAGTGCCCCCGTGATCACCACAAGCCAGGAGGCAAGCAACGAACTGCCGGACATTCACCATTAAACATATACCCCTGCCTACCACTGCTGCTGCTACTACTACAACTACTGATGCTACGCAGTTTGCTGTTGAGGTAGGCACTGACCACCCCAGGCGACGGCATTACCGCATATATATGTACACATACAAGCATGCTTTTGCAAATGCTTTTGCACGGCTCATCACCACCAACCACTGGTGGTTATCTATGGCATATCTAGCTGCTGGTACGGACCTAGCACGCTAAGCCGCTGGTAGCTAATTATCACATCAGCAATCGTACGTACATCGATTTCGCTATATGTACATCCGCACCTGTCGGTGCAGTTGGGACAGTAGGCCGCCATTTCGCTGGTGATGCTGCCATATGAGCTGAAATCAGCTAAATTGCCGGTTGCGAGGGTGAGGTTGACCGGAAAGAAGCCGTAGGGCTTTCTCAGGTTGAACTGGGAAAGGGCGATGAGAGAGCCGCCTGCATGCAGCAGCAGCAGCAGCAGCAGCAGCAGGAGACAAGGGGAAGAAGGCAAAGGACGGCGGACTACTCGGACATGAAGGACGACAGCGACAACAGAGCGAGCTTGAAATAGTAGCAATAGTTGCCCGGCAGCAGCAGTTCATCATTCCTGAGCAACCCCGAGTGGTTTTAAATAGGACACACGCCCTGCGGTTCTAGCACATGTAGGTCGTGTAATGTGAAGCATGTGTTTATTCATGAACTAACCTGCACTGATGAATGCGGCAATCTTCGCCTGGACGGCTGTCAGGGCATCATTAAGGATATCCGTCATGCCACCCCCGAATTCTCCCATGGGTGCGCCCGCGGGAATGAATATCAGCTTATATTGGCTAAAATTAAGACTGGCCACCCTTGTCGCGCTCTGGAAGTAGGTGATGATGGATGCCTGATAGCCCGCGCCGGCGACCCAGGCTTCCAAGTTTTGCGCTGCTAATGGTGGGTCCTGTGCGGCAAGAAGAGAGTAACAGCGAGCGAGGCAACACACAGCGCACATTTTAAAAATAGTGATTGCACGATAGCGATTACCATCCCGCCCATTATTAGCACTATCCTTAGTTGCCTAGCAGGAGCGATACATGCTTACATAGTTGGGGTTGATGAAGGCCAGGATGCCGCTCGCGCCCGCCGGAGCTGCCTCCAGAGCTGCTTTGACCAAGCTCGTGAACAGGAACCCGCAGCCCGTCGTTGGGTCATCACACTGGGGCAGCGCACACGAGTGCGATGGACATATATGATGCACAGATGGACTCAGTCTCTGTTACTCACGTTGTTAAATTACTCCACTGATTAGCTGTCAGATAGACGGCTCTTCCTATAAATAGAGTGAGTGAGTGAGTGAGCTATTTGTGGCTGCTGAGGACTGCGTCGTCTAAACATCAACACACTCTGCAACTGCTTTGCGTGCATTGTTTGCATGGGCCATAAGTGAGCGACATGAATGCAATGCTGGGGCAGCAGCAGCAGCAGCAGCAGCAGCAGCAGCAGCAGTAGTAGTAGTAGTAGTAGTAGTAGTAGTAGTAGGATGTATAGATGCATGCCTATCTTAACGTGTGCTTCGACCAATCGACATCAGCAAGCTTTTGCCTGCCTGCCGCCCCGGGGGTTCACCCCGGCAGGGCATGATGGACAAGATACAGGATGGCAGCACTGAAGCTCGCTGTGCACATGGTATGGCCACATGTGGTACGACCGCAGTTGGGTATTGCGGTATGAAAGTTCGAGCTAATGGCTCTCACACATGTAAACACAGGCCCATCATGTGTCTTGGCCTAGACAGATGTGAGGTTGTGAAAGCGCCAGATATAACCGCATTTGAGCGATCGAGCTAGTGAGGTGGACCCGATGCGCTGCACACCCTAGTGACTCGTCGAAAGTCTTACGCTGAAGTCGTCTGCGAGCATACTGGTCAGGCAAGCGAAGCCCCCACTAGGTGATGGCTGTGCCGGCGGTGGTGGCGAGGGAGGTGCCGGTGGAGATGGAGGTGTGGATGGCTGTAAGGATGGAGATGGAGCTGCTTGATCAAGCACTCTTCGTGCTACTGCAAATGCAGATGAAGGTTTCGGTTCGGGGATCGCCCATTGCTTGTTGCACATGACTGCACACACCGACAAAGGAAGGCGAGGGATGGCATCCGCACGTTAGTGAAACGAGCGACAGATTGTACAGTATGGCGTCGAATGCATGCCGGCAGGTGCATGGGCGATTTGCGCTTCATGGATACTACCTTGCATGCTGCCCGTTGCCTTTGCTGGGACACCCCTGGGCCTGAGCTTACCGAGCACAGCTGCTGGTTACGGCACCACATACAATTTCACACGCATGCAAGGTACTTCGCTGACACTTTCGAGGTCGATGGTGAAAGGTGTTACAAGGCAATGAAGGGAGACACCCTAGCACATAGCATGCATGCAGCAAGCGTGGGCCGCATTATTCTGCCTCCCTCGCTGTCCACGTTCTCAAATTCCCTGTCTCGCAAGCTATCTGAGCGTAGTACGGCGCCGAGTGTAGATTCGGGCTCATTTATCCATACAAAGCTTTATTTGGTATCAGGTTCTTCGTGTCGTCGTTTCAAGCCACGATAATGAAAGACATGCACGGTGGGTTAAGAGCACGCAGCAGGTGTATGTTCTTTTCTCCGCACTCTTCGTTAAGACTCCAGCTCGGCGTGCGCGCGTCCGTATGTCCCTGCCTCTTTAATTGTACTTGCAAGCTCATCAAATCTTACGACTACCATATACTAGCTCCCGCTGCTGCTGCTCCCGCTGCTGCTGCTGCTGCTGCTGCTGATGATGATGATGATTATGACGATGATGATAATGCGTTGCCATCTTTATTTCTCGCATTCTGCGAGTCAACATTCCACACCCTCTTCACGGGATGGATTCCTTGTGCCTCCACGAGGGGGGGCGCAACCAGCCGTTGGTGGGCATCGCACGTGCAGTCGGCGCATGTCCCCCCCTTTGCCTTGTCCATTAGTTGCGACCGGACAATAGCTCCCGCTCATTGTTCCTTAGTTGGGAACATAGATCCACACACAGATACACATCTTAACACATCATAGAAACACATCTAACACATGCACGCATACACACACAGATATACATACTTGGTGCTTGACAGTCGCGAGAAGGACCTGAGGGATCTGGACAGGCGCCCGCTGTGAGATGCGCGACGGCCTTCAGTTCGCCCCAATCAATAATTGCCAAGTTGAACTGCGAGGAGACCATTAGAGAACCACCTGCAAAAGGAAACATGTAGCACTTAGATGATGAGCCGCAGGCTATGTACGCCTAAAATAGCGGAAGGCGTTTAAGAACGTCCTTAAGCCGTTCTGAGCCTATACGCTGCCAGCATTCAGCAGCTCACAGCGGGCTCATTTTGCGCTGCTGTTGAGAGATAAAACTGCAATCAATGCTCGCACATCCGCACGTCTCATGCTTGAATAATAGCTACCGACGGGAAATTTCCGTGCACCGCATGCATTGCTTCTTTTGTCTGCGGTTCCATCCTAATCTCCAACGGTATGCCATTAGTTTCTCGCTTCCTAACTACTGCAACAGCTAGAAGGCGTTTGGATAGTCTAATGAAAATAACGCTCTTGATGGCTGGGCATCCTAAAGCTCGGCCAATCGTTGGTACTTCGTGGGAAATCGTGGGAACTCCTAGGGTTTCGCTCGTAACAAGCTGAGCTACGGAGTTAACGGAGCAAGGACGATTAACTCACCCATGTTGACGAATGCGGCAATATCGTCACGAACAGCCGCCAGGTCGTCGTTGAGATCGTCCGTTGTTCCGCCTAGCCACGTTCGCGCCGATTCATCCCGGCTGGCCGCGGGAATGTACAGCAGCTTGTACAGGCTGAGGTCAAGGAAGGCAATCTGAGTAGCATTACTGAGGAATGTGATTGTAGACGAGTCGTAACCTGCGCCTTCAACCCAGCTCGCAAAGTTATCTGGGGCTAGTGGCGGTGACTGCGTGGCGTGCAAAAGGCGCGAAACAGGCGCGGAACAGGGGGTGTTCGCGACGGTTTAGCAATATAGTGGAATGCAAATTCCTTATAAGGATATAAGTTTACATGTATGCGTTGATTATACTTTCAGCAGTGAATCTTCGAACTTTTCCTCGTTTGGGCCGCGATGAAGGCGTCTGCACTTGAGCACGCAGGTCGGTCCTCAATCAAGGATGTTACTGATTATCGTTCTATAGCTTCAAGTAAACGCCGATAATAACACCGGCAGATCCCCCCGGCTGCTTTGGGAGCGTTGCCCGATTGCGCACTAGGCAAACGTACGCGTTAAGTCATCTATAAGGATAGAGGAGATGTGCTTCAGGTTACATGCGGAACATCATTGGAATCCTATGTTGCGTTGCGTTGCGTCCCAACCGGAAGAGCCGTACAATGCAGCAGATGCGGTTGGCAGGCTCGGCATGCAGGAACAGACCCGACCCAGTGACATGCCAGACTGCCCGCACATCATTGAGAAATAACTCAGGAGGGCAAAGTCGGCATTAAGTTTGCCTGTGCCAGTACGATAGGCGTTCGTGGGGTAGGAAGCACGCATCAAGGCTAGGGCGCGGTATCTTCCAGGCAGGTCCAGAGCTGGACATGTACTAGGATGGCGGCGGGGTGGTCAGATCGTCCAGGTCGTGCCGCCAGCTCATATGTGAATGGAGTGGGGATCTCCGGTACTGGTAGATGGGTTGAATTGAATGGGTGCATGCGGTGCTACGGGCCTAGGCCTGTAGAGATTGCTTTTCTTTTTGCCGTGTGCGTGTGTGTGTGCGTGTGTATTTGTGTGCGTATATGTGTGTGTATTTGTGTTTGTAACTGTGTGTGTATGTATGTGCATGTATGTAGTGTGTGTGTGACTGACTGTCTTAACAAGTGAGTGTTTGCAGTTGCATATGTAGCGGGAAAACAGGTTCAGGTAATGGCGGGCATGTCGCCGGTAATATCGACGCCGTGGGTAAAGCAACGGTCTGGAAAGCGCTGTTGAAAGACGCGAGGATGAATCTCGTCGGGTAGTTCAGGAGCCTATATCGGCAAATCCACTGCTTCACAAACTCATGAAGATGGACTGAGCAGCGCAGGAAGCGATGCAGCAACCACGTTCGGGTGATGCAGTGATCGCGTGCGCCAAATGTTTGACCATGCGAAACAGGACGCGGCGCTATATGCTCCTCCTCTCTGACCCAAATCATCTAAGCTGCTGGATCGGGCAGCTGGACGGATTGCTTCCAAGCTTTGGCGGACTATCCCTCGCTCTCCCTCACGGGACATTACCCCAGAGCAGCTAACTTTGTGATGTACACCATCCCTGTTGGGTGCCTAGGGATGCTGCCCTGAATCCACGTCTACCCTTGGGAAAGCACAAGATAGAACTTGCTGATCCAGGTTTATCCTGGCAGCGATACATGCTCACATAATTGGGGTTGATGAAGGCCAGGATGCCGCTCGCGCCCGCCGGAGCTGCCTCCAGAGCTGCTTTGACCAAGCTCGTAAACAGGAACCCGCAGCCCGTCGTTGGGTCATCGCACTGGGGCAGTACAAGCGGTGCGAGGGAGGCGGGGGCATTAGTAGCACTCGTTAATGCTGCACACCATCACGAACAAGTGGCATATGGCTCGTTTAGACGCTGTTGGCGTTGGCAGGCTACTCGCGAATCCCAATCACAACCAAGTACACAAACTGCATTCATTGACTGAAAATCGTCGAGCATGTGTGAAATGGCGTTGATTGACCCCTCGAGGAATGGGCTCGTAGCAAAGAAAGGCGTCGTGTCCTTAATGCGCGCGCGCACTGCTTATGACTCTTGGTGCATAGCTACTCCGGAAGCTGGGCAACTTTCATACGGGAAGAGTACGGGAAGAGAACCAGAGTGAAGACACGACCGTTTATATAAGGGTACGGCACATGGCTTAGATGAGCATAGTGGTCCAGAGGAAAGACTTGCTGAGACAGGGCTGACAGGGCAGGCCGGTAAGGGGCTTGAACATGCTATGATTTGGGAACACTTCAAAGGTCAAAGGCTGGGGTAGCGGCTACCTAACCATCACCTTGCATCACGCAGTGCAAGCGGTAGGCCGGCTTTCCATTCATGTCTATGGAGATGACGGGAGGGAAATGGAGGTGTAACTTGGGGTTCCTGGTTGCAGCAAGTAATGAAATGAATGCAGCTGCCGTACCCCAACGCCCTTTCCTAGGCCACGGCACTCCTCCCGCCATGTGCCGTACTGGTGTACGACCATTCAATCAATCTCTGTATTTCTTGGGCGTGGTCGGGTTCACGACATAGCTTTACGAATGAATGTTTGTATTTTAGGACATAGGATACTGGTAGCTTGCTGTTTCGGTTGCAGCAGGGTTTGGGACGCAGGGTTCACGACACAAAAAAATCACTCACTCACGGGACCAATCGCAACGCCTTCACTTGTAATATGGATCATTAATCAACTGGCATCAGGGCCAATGGCCTCACTTCATGCGCTTGGCCGTGCGACAGTCGAATGCGTCCCAACAACCAGCCCTAGCCAGCTGGCCTGGACCCTCCCTGGACCGTATCGCTCTCCTATTATCCCGGCAGATCACGACCTGTGCCCCGATCAATCACCCTGAGTGCGGTTAAGGCTGTTCAGCCTTGCATAGTTCCCCTAGGTATTGCGGAGCCACCTTTGCGACGCGGCGCGTCGCCGGGTAGCGGTAAGGGACGCAGTCGCGTGCACGTGCGACGAGGCGCAGCATGCGGGTTCTATCAGCAGCTGCACAATCACTTCCTTTCACTTTGTACGCTATCTCGTTTCGCTTATGCATTAACACGGTGATCTCTTCCGTGCGAGTTGAAAAGCATAAAGGCCGCCTTCGCAGAACCCGATAGTCCTTGCATATGCGCACATCGGACAAAGCCGAGCAAATTTGTGGTAACCGAATCGATTTAATGCATAAGCACTTACTTCTTGATCCAAAAACCGAGTTGTTAAGCAAATTAAGCCGTCGTGAGCGGCCGGTGCTGAAGAAGAAGACCCCACGGGCCGTCCTTGAAGAACTAACAAGGTACATACAAGACACCAAGGTACCAGTGCGATTCCCTTGCGAAAGATATCCCAAGTATACGTCTCCTGGTAAATTCGATCAGGCCAACAGGCAAGGCAGGAGGTAAAGTAGTGTTGCACACAGGAACGGGGCCGCAGAAGGGCGATGTAGAACACCTGGGAGCGGTGATTCGATGAAGCTTGTAGGCATCTCCGCTGAACCATGATGTTGGGCCTTTGTGCAAGCCCAGCAGAGAGCCGAGCTACTCGTCAAGTGAAGCTCGCGCCCGCATTCAGCAGTTGACGCCTAATTAATTTCATTAAGCCGACTGCAGCTGAATGTTCTCGTGATCCTAGCACATATAGAAGTTATATGTTCAAGCCAATAAGGATCAGCGAAATGGCAACGGTGCCCTGCCGGTGCGGTAGGTAGGAGACGGAAATGAGCTTCGACAGGTGAACATTACAACAAATGTTGCGAGAAGGTAACGTATCTTTCGCCAATTTCCCGTAATCCAGTTAGGAAGCTACCGTACCGTATATGTGGGGCCTCCAGCTTGAAAAGCGGTGGGCGGGCAGTGTGCGAGCTAGTTATTACCTGAAATTATGGATCAGAAATTTACAGAGTTTGTTCTTTTCGATTTGGTTGTGCACGGCATTCCCACGCATTCCTCTGTATGGACATCCGTGCAGTTGTCATATCAGTCTATCATATCGGCTAACTTGGTGCGGAAGGTTAATAAGATGTCTATTGAGAAACCTGATTTTAATACCTGAGACATACAGCCATGGAAGAACGTAGGGCCTCTAGGAACCTTTTCCCAAGTATGGGAAAGTATGAGGGATATTGTGTGAATGGAGACCGCTAGCCTTCCAAGCTTGCCAATATCTGCTTTTTTATTACACCATATGAGCTGTCAACGCTCGAGTAAATTACAGGTGGACGCATCAGTCGTCACTACGGCAAACCGCGCGAGAGACAAGGCGCTGATTTTGCCCCACCGATTCTTTGATTGACCTGAATGCACCGCGTTGTCATTTGCTGGGCGGCAAGTGGCGGCAGCCTGCTGCTTCCATGGCCAATGCTATGCATTAGAGCATTCAGTATAGCTCACATACTTGGCATATTTTCTTATAGTCATGGCACTGGTTAATTTGAATCTATTCGTAGGGGCGTCATTCGGTTGGATTTCTCGGATTCACAATAGCTTGCAACCATAGGCGCACGAAATACATTATTTTATGCCAATTTTCCTTCAAATAACTTTGTCTTAATGAAATTTCTAAAATCATGCGTGCCGATTACTGGCTTGTTAACCAGTTTCTGCCTTCTGCTCGTCCAAGCCGAGTCTGCAGGACAACAATGCACGTGTATACAGCAGTACAACTTCTTCAGAGCGCATTTCTGAGTTCACTGATATTGGTTTGACACATAGATTGCGGATGTAGCGGATAAACTTTGCATGATTGGTACGGAATATTGATGAATATGAGTCAAGACACAAAAGATCCGAGAAATCAGCAGCAGAGTGAACTGAGCCATTCATTTGTCGTGCTTCTTTGACGTATGTGATCTTGGCGAGTGGCTATTTGTTGCTTGGGCAATACAGTATTGCCCAGTAACTGTGCTGGCTTGAGCTGTTTCCTGCCAAGCAAGTCCAAGCGCTTTGCACTAGTAGAGGAAGACCAATTGATTTCCCATGCGCAAATTTACCCGTGCAAAGTAAAATTTGTCCCGTGTAAAAGAAGGGCCTTACCTGCGCCCGCCTGAGGATGCTCCTCCTTAAATAATGTCAGTATAGTTTAAACGCCATGTTCTATTGCTAGTCAATAGTTGTGGTAAGCACTATATATATAAAAAGTTGTATATATAAAGGTTTCAATTGCCTCCTAGCCTCCGTAGCCTCCTAGGACGTGCAATGCGGGAGCCAATTTGGAGCGATTGTTCGTATGGACGGCTTGCAAAGGGGTTAATATACAAAGCTTGAAATGATCTGTGGGATGTTTATCTACGCTTCCATCAGCGGGGCCTCATACGGCATTATAGAGGCCACACCTGCTGGCGCCGCAACGCAGCATGCTAAACGTAAAAATACTTCTGTATTTATCATTAATCAGGCGGAGTAATCGTATCTGCCTCACGGAAACAGTGGCCATCTATCTGCCGATTGATTAATGCACTAACCAAGCCACTTGCCTTTGGCAAGCTGCTAAGAGAATTGTAAATTCAAAATTCAATTCAATAACATATTTTCGTAGGAGCTAAACGCTGAAGGTTACGCGAGATGGATCAGCCGCTCATCCGCCGCTGTCACGAGCATGTGACACATACTGACCACCTACCTTGACCCGGTGCGCGAAAACAAGGGCATCACGTGCTTGTTAACAAATGTATGCAAGAAATCCATCCCCTCTAGTTCTTCCCCTAATGGGGAACATTAGGGGATGCGCTAAAGGGGATGGTTTAGTCACCGTTACGCAATGTAGGGCTTTACAAAACCCAAAACGCTATTGAAGTCGACAGAAGACCGCCTACGGCCCCTTGCTCCTAGCAGACCTATCCACCACCAGGGTTTTTCAGCCAACTGGATCCGCCCTAACACAGTTCGTACAGGAATGTACGTCACCATGGAAGTGTCCGACTCAATAAACGTGTGTGCATCACGTATTTAACTTCGACCATGCAATACGGATGGTTCGTCGACACCTCCGGCCCTTATCACCAGCCCAAGCCAGCTGCAGTGGGCTGCAGTTCCGCCCATAGTATCCGCCCATCGCCGGGGTTGCGACTACTCGCCCTGAAGGGCGATGAAAGCAAAATCCCATAGGAGCCGTCGAACGAGGGTGGGCCCATGACGGCCCATGCACACGCGATGGTCATGGAACTGAGGCTTTGGTTGCAGCTGTTTGTGTGGTGCAATCCCCGGCATCACCCCCAACTGCCAACGATGCCAACGATGCCAACCGCGCCCGAAGGCAATTCCCAACGTCTAGACCAAGAGGCCCCTTTCCACAGCACGGTCATGCGCTCCAAAGAGCGTTTTCCGGCGCACTATGGGTAACAGCCTGTGAGGTAAGTAGTATAGTAGTATTAGTAGTTAATCGTATAGTACTATAGTAATTAATAGCATAGTAGTAAAGTAGTTAATCGTAATTTCAGACGTACTAGGTCTTATGTTGCACCGTACTGACTGCTCGGGAACCTTCGGGGGCCCCATTCTCGTTAGGATGTGGAGCCCCGAACCCATGCCCGGCTTCCTATGCTTCAACCGCTCAATCCCCCTGCTGGGAGCTCCCGGGTTGAATGGCGCGCAGCGGAGGCATAATGCCAGAGGAAGTGAGAGGCTACAGAGACACAGATCCCATGTTGCCAGATCAAGCGGGTCTGATTGCCCCATGGAGTCCAAGGCACAGCAGGCCCACAGAACAGACATCACACGTTACTCATTTTGCGTTTCGGCGAAATCGGAGTTGCCGCCTGGCCTATGCATGGTCGGTCTGTTGCGTCACAGAAGGATCGGGCTGGGCTGGGCTGGGCTGGGCTGTATGTGCAGGGATCGAAACTGACTCTATGGTCCGCTGCCTGATGTGGCTTCAACTGCTTTGGGCTGTAAGCTTTGGCTTTTGATGACTGAGATGAGTTTTTCTAGGATTGTTTTTCATTGGAGATCTGGTAGGGGAGTTCAGGGAGGGTTACGTGTCTGGGCGTGTCTGTGTAGGTCTTTTTCCAGGGAAACATCACCTGTATGCGTCCGCATGTGTAAATGTGCTTGTGTGTGAGGAAACTGGAAATAGAAAGAGGGTCTCTGCAACCGATTTAGCAACGAGCTACGGTGCGGTGAAAGCTTCTCATCGCTTCGGCGATGCAGGACTATGGGATGGACATGCAGGGCCGTCTCATGAAGTGGCGAGCGTGATCGAATGGAAATCGATTAGGTTTTGTAATTAGTGATTTTTTAACAGCAACGAGGTGGTCATTTACAGAAGTACAGATGGACTTGGAGGTTCACCCGCGCAGAACATCTGCACATGCGTGTTCGTACGGCATGCGCAGTAGCCGCGGCAGCGGCGTTGCGAATATCGCTGCAATGTGATCTTCTATTACATTTCCGGCGGCAATACATGTAAGGTGGATATCTATGCCGCGATTCCCAAGGTTCATGGAAGTGTCCTGGAACTAGTCACTCCACAAGGCCGATCTTGTAAACTAGGAGGTTATTGGGTATAAAGCAACAAGAAACTTGTCTTCGTATAGATACATAGCGCCATCGCTCATTTACACCTTTGCAAGTATTTTCTAGGACGATGAGCACCGCCAGGCAACTCCAGATTCATACGAGGTCACACCAGAACGTTCTCTTGAAAGCGAATCGACGAACGAGACCTTTCGTCGCCGTGGTGCAAGCCAGAAGTCATGCGCATCCGCAGAAAGGTTCCTCTCGTGAGGAGCCAACCCGCCGTGATGCGTTGCTCTCGCTCTTGAGCATCCCACTGACAGCAGCGCAACTTGGATCTGCAGTAGCTCCAGCGCTAGCGTTCACTGCACCGCCGCCCGGCTACCGATTGCTCGTCGATAAGCTGGATGGATACAGTTTCATCTGTCCAGAGAACTGGATTGCTGTAACATCTTCAGGAAACGACATCTTTCTTCGTAACCCGCGGATCGTGGAGGAAAATCTTTTTGTGGACATTACGTCCCCGTCATCCTCGCGGTTTAAGTCTGTCGGCGATCTGGGCACACCGGACGAAGCGGCAAAGCGTCTGCTAGACCAATATCTCACCAAGGAGTTCATGTCGACCCGTCTGGGCATCTCTCGTTACGGGGAGATTGTCTCGGCGTCCAGCCGCGTTGCAGATGACGGTCAAACCTACTATGATATCGCCATTCGCATGACGTCATATGGCAGTAGGAACGCTTACGCAGCAACGCGCGCGGAGGTTTTGCGGGTGAGAGGAGCATTATGGGAAGCAGCTGTTTGAGCTGCGAAGGGCCGTGGCCTTAGGGGAGTACGGTGTGCGCCTGCACTGCGCGACGGACGGGATGGTGCGGTCCCGGGCCAGGCTTGGGTGTGGATCCCAGCTCTTTTTGCTTCTTATCCAAATTTTGGGGGACGCGAGCAATCGTGCAAACAGCGACATAAGATGGGCGTCTGCCTAACACACACGTACATCGATTGCAGGCCTTGCTCCCTCCCTCCCTCTCCCATTATCCGTCGTGCCAGCCTCGCCTTCCTAACCCTGCTTGGCTCCGCCCTCCGCCACAGTGCCCTCCACCTCACCTGCTGCCCTCCCACTTTCCCTCTATCTTTCTCACCATACTTCCCCTATCTTCATACACCTCCCTTCTTCCTGCCCATCCACCCAACCCCGTCACGCCTCCGTCACTGTCTCCTTGCTGGCCCCCATCCTCTCCTCCCCCATCCTCTGGTGGTTGTCCTTGCCCCCATCCTCTCCTCCGCTGCCTTTTCCGGTCCTCAGGATTACTCCCTGGAGTGGGACCGCACCCTCAGCACCGTACTGGGAGTGGCAAACAACCGCCTCTACACTCTGCGCCTGCAGACAGCTTCGCCCGACTATGACCGGAACAAGCCCACGCTAGCCGCCATCATGGAGTCCTTCCGCTGCCGGGAGGTCGACGTATGAGAGCGCCCTCCCTGGAGAACCATGGGGCTGGGTGTGGACAATCCTCCACGCAGCCAGGCGTCGACAATCGGCACACTAAAAAAAACGCGCAGCACGAGGACGGAGGCACTTGAGGTCACTTGCGGATCGCGGCCATGTCAGCGCCCCCAGCCCGCTAGCGCGGTGTGGTGTGGTGTTCTTCACCGGTAGAGTGCGCGGCCGAATACTGTGCGTGATCTTCATGGACGTAGGGCCAATGAACTGGGCCCATATGGGTAATAGGGCACCGGCTTGAAATGGGAGAGGCCCACCTGGGACTGGGACTCGGACGGAGGCAGGGGATAGGTCTGGGACTCTAGGCTCTGCATCTTGCAATGTGCATTGCGCGCGGGGTGCAGGAAGGTGTGTGTGCAGCTTTGTGTACCGTACATCTGGTCGGAGGACCAGATGGGTCCGTGAGGTCCCATCTTCGGTTTGAATTGTAGCGGAAACCGTGAGGGAGAGCGAGCGCCAAAGCCGAGGACATTAGCCGTTTTCGGCCATGCTTGGGTATTCGGGCATTAATATTCATAATACCGACGCGCAGGGCCGTTTGTGGGAGCCTTGGAATGACCCGTCAAACGTCCGGCAGCAGTGAGCGCTTTTCCCGCCACGTCGATGGACTCGGATGCATTTGTTCGGAATCGGACCCTAGCTAATGATCTGATTTGGGGGAGAGGAGGAGGAAAACTGGGAAGGGGAGGCCGGGGCGGGCCGTCCTCTTCTCAATGAGTCGTGTCATATTTTCAATTTTGGCCGGTATCGCGGGCTGGCGGGGCTTCTTGTTTATTGTCCGCTCTTTCTTAGTTTTGTTAGGAGTATGCATGGAGGAGGATGATAGAGCGCATCGTGATATCTGGTAACCGCGAATGCACCACGTTGTGCCCTTTCGGCCTTTGAATTTATAAAACGGAGAACAAGTGAGCACATGCCAGAGTGGAAGCCAATTTCATGGACGCGTGTTGTGGGGTGGGGCTGCTCGCTGGCGCTGGCAAGCTGCTCTGCCGGATATTCGTCATCCCAGTCAGCGAGAGTCTCCTGTGTGCCGCATTGCCCTGCGCTGTGTAAAGCGCCGAACTGATCGGACGCTTGTGAGGAGGCAGCAGGAAGGGGCGACGTCTGGGCCAGGCAGCAGCGGCCAACAAAGTGGCGGCCAAGATTGAGAAGGCAACACGTAACGAGAGGGGAGGGATGCAGCTGCGCACGGCCTACGGGCTTTGGGGGGGCCTTAAACGATATTGGCTAGCCAGGTTTGATAGGTGTTTCCGTGCCTTGTGGCACATGTGACACAGTGCTGCGTACCTTCAAAACTCCAGGGAAGCATGCAACCTGCACACGCAGCTGTTTTTTGGTCCCTGTGATTTTGCCAAGGATTGCGCCTACGAGATGCATTGAGCAGATGGGATGAATGGGACTGACAATGAAAAGCTGTTGCAGCAAGCAGCCAGGTAAAGACTGTGGAACTGGACGACCTGGGCGACCCAAAATCGGGTTACGGTACCACACAAAAGGGGGGCCCCCATGTCGCTCTTATGTCCCCGCCCTCCAGCCGGCCCTCCCCCCACACACAGGTGGAAATTACTTACAACAGACCCCTCCCAGACCTACTAAAAATCGCCTTTGCTACACCTGAAGTAACGACCTGAAGTTTAGAATTCATGTTTTATACCGCGGCCGGGGCAGTTCCGGCCTAAGATAGACTTCACTTTCCTACTCTGCTAGCCTTTGCTACACAAAATATGCGTGCACGTGCACGTATTGAAATTCCATGTCTTGCACCAGACCTAAGACTCATCAGTCGCCACTCCTGCGCACCGTCAACGGATCATCAACACGCATGCATGCATGTACAGGGGTTGCAGTGACGCAAATCACAGTGCCGGCTAAACCATGTGCACATACACACATACACACGGACACACACGCTCACACAGGTCGAGTGTCAGTGTGTCTGCAGGGCAACGCTACCCTTCACTGTTTTGTCGTCGAGCCTCAACGAATCGAAGTCTAACCAAATCAATGCCGGACTTAACGGAATTTTAGGGTTTTTTGCACTGGTTCCTAGTCGTCGTCCCACGCGGCCGCTACCTTTCTTTCCCGCTCCTGCCGGGCCTCCCGAGCGGCCTGCCAGGGCGCCAGGGTGGGCATCAGCAGGCGTTGGCACAGCAGCAAAAGAGAGTGTTAGGGGCCCAGAGGCCAGAGGCGGAGACAGGCGCGATTGGCTGACCCGGGCAGAGTGAGCGGGCAAGAGCAGGTGCTGGATGTACTGTAAAAAGAGAGACCTAGAAGGAAGGCAAGAGGGGGAAGGCATGTCATGAAGAAAGGGATCTACATATTAATCAGCGAGGCAAGCCAAAGCCAGGGGGCCAAGGCAAAGGGAAAGGGCCCCAGCGCGCATCCCACCAGATCCCTTGATTTCCGTCAGGCAGCTCTCCGTACAGATCCATGTTTATTATAACCGGGTTTCGGGGGTTTCTTCCTTTCCTCACCTCCGCTTGAGTAGCCACAACAACCTCCGCCTTTCCTCCCTTCCCCCCTCCCTTTCTCCCCCCTTTTCCCCCGCCAGTTCCGCATTCCCCCCCTTCCCTCCTCTTTCCCCCCCTCTCCGGGCAGCAACCCGCCCTCGCCTTCCGCTGCTGCGCCAAGTTCCTCTCGGCCTCCTTGTCCCGCAGCTGACTCATACCCAGAGCATGACTCAGCAACCGCTTGGCAACTGCCGCAGTGGTCTTGGGTCGCTCCCGGGGGGGAAGCAGCTCTGGGGGGTGAGGTGGGAGGTGCGTGTAGAGTGAGGTGGGGTGAGGTAGGGTGGGGTGAGGTAGGGTGGGGTGAGGTAGGATGGGGTGAGGTAGGGTGGAGTGAGGTAGGGTGGGGTGAGGTAGGGTGGGGTGAGGTAGGGTGGGGTGAGGTAGGGTGGGGTGAGGTAGGGTGGGGTGAGGTAGGGTGCGGTTATCCTCGCGGCTCAGTTGATTGCATCACTCCTTGTTTGTCACTGTCCGCCGGCTGCTACTGCTACTGCTACTGCTACTACTGCTACTGCTACTATGCTGCTGCCAGCTGCAGCAGCCGAATCCATGCCGCGTCCTGGTGCGCTCACCTGCCGCGGCAACCGCCTGAGATGCGGCGGATGCCTCTGCAAAGGGACGCAGCTGAAAGAGCTCCTGATCCACCTGGAGAAGATATTGAGCTGCGGGTGTGGTTGGGAGTGGGTGCGTGGTGGGGAGTGGGTGTGTGGTGGGGAGTGGGTGTGTGGTGGGGAGTGGGTGTGTGGTGGGGAGTGGGTGTGTGGTGGGGAGTGGATGTGTGGTTGGGAGTGGATGTGTGGTGGGGAGTGGATGTGTGGTTGGGAGTGGATGTGTGGTGGGGAGTGGGTGCGTGGTGGGGAGTGGGTGTGTGGTTGGGAGTGGATGTGTGGTGGGGAGTGGGTGCGTGGTGCGGAGTGGGTGTGTGGTGGGGAGTGGGTCTGTGGTCGGGAGTGGGTGTGTGGTGGGGAGTGGGTGTGTGGTGGGGAGTGGATGTGTGGTTGGGAGTGGATGTGTGGTGGGGAGTGGATGTGTGGTTGGGAGTGGATGTGTGGTGGGGAGTGGGTGCGTGGTGGGGAGTGGGTGTGTGGTTGGGAGTGGATGTGTGGTGGGGAGTGGGTGCGTGGTGGGGAGTGGATGTGT